CCTGTTGCTGCCAAAGTGTTAGACAAGACCTCTAGCAACCAAATTTCCAGCTGCTTGCATTAGAACGAGTGTACTTTTTGGCAACATTTGTGGCTGGCGTCGACATGTTAGATGTTAAAATAATTGTACATTTTGGAAAGCACTTTCTTTGAAAATCCACTTGAAATAAGACTCATTTATAATATTGACAATAATGTAATAATTTAATGTTCATAAATAATGGCCAAAAAAAATATATCAGCTGAAAATAGTTGTCAACCAATTTACTTGAGTTGAAGAGGAATTGATGGATGAAATAGCTTTAAATTTTTCTTTTTTTTTTTTTTGTAAAGGAGATGAAAGATGACAGAGATGATGGAAGTTAGGCGAAATATGTGCAAAAGAAGGACCTGAGCTTAGCTCTGAAAAAAGGCAATCCCGTTTTCCCGAAAAATGTAGAAACATCTCTGGCATTGTAATTCGTTTCGAAAATTTGTATTCATTCATATGTATCAGAATCGGTTTGTTAGTAGTTTTTAAATATATTTTAAAAAACGCAATAAATTACAAAGATTTCTTTCGGACCAATTTTAGTTTTGTACCAGCAGTTTTTCAAATAAAAACGAAAAGGGAATAAACATGGTAAGAGTACAAAATGCATTCACCTTTTTGCCTAACATCAGCCGTCTTAGGAGCGTCGTCGAGTTCGTATTGGTGGTGGCGTCAACGTGGACCCATTTGTTGTTGCTGGTGATATGTTGCCCATTGGCGGTGGTGGTGGCGGGGATGCAGATAATATTCTGCCGCCCATCATGCGCATTGACGGGAATGGCGTTCAGCTGCATATAACAGAGCCCACTGCAAATGGCCGCATGCGCCATATGATCATTCATGCGCAGGAGGGAGGCGAAGATCCGGATGCCCACGAAGTGATGGCCGAGGCCCAAGTGGCCGCCGAGGAGGCAGCGGTCGTGGCTCAGGCATTCAATCAGTTAAATGTGCCGGCGCATCATTTTCCCGATCAGAATATCATCATTCGTAGTGGCCCCAACAATACCATTGTGGCCGGGCCCAATGGCTATGCGCTCTATTCCGTGCCATTGCATCGGGCCATGACCGATGTTAATGTGCGCCATCCCGCCGAGCTGTCCATTGGTGGCCACATGATCGTGCAAGATCTAGCAGCGCAAGCCCGTCGGCGACAACCGCCCCAGGCCGTGCGATTCGTTCTCCGTCTGTGCTTCAATGCGCTCATGCATCCCTACGAGTATGCCAAGGTGCTGATGCAGCTCGGCCATGAACCACTGGCGCCCATCAACTGCCGCAGCATTCTGGGAAGAGCAATGACGATATTACCGAACGTACACAAATATTTGAAGCATATAAAGCGCACCGACGGCTTCTTTGGACTCTACCGGGGCCTGGGTCCGCGCCTCCTTGGCAATATTTGCTCATCAATCTTGTGCAACAGTCTAGTGAACCTTGCTGGACTGAAACCTTACCACCGCGCCGTGGACGAGAGGCCTCACCAGCTTAGGGAATATTTGTGGAATCTGGCTCGCGATGCCATCATTATGACGACGGCTGCTGTCGTTTCACATCCTTTCTATGTGATCTCCATACGGCAGATGGCGCAGTTCGTTGGACGTGAGCTCATCTATGACAATGTGATCGACGGCTTTCGCGAAGTCATCGATCGAGAGGGTCTGACTGGTCTCTACGCCGGCTTTATGCCGCGATTGCTCTACGATCTGTGCGTGCTCTTTTTAACCAGCACCATCTCCAATATATTTAATCGGAACTGCAAGCAGAATGTTGTGCAGCAACAGTACAACTCAGCGGCGGTGCAAATGGGAGCCGCTTTTGTCATGTACCCCTTGCAGGTGGTTGCCTCATGCATGGCTTCGACGGGGGCCCGATTGGCGGCCTGCATGCCACCCTGCATGCCAATCTATCGCCAGTGGACTGACTGCCTATCGGATCTGTTAGCACGTGGGGATCACTTGCGTGGCGGCATCCTCTTCTATCGCCCAATGCCCAGGATACAGATTCGTTACACTGATAGCTTTATTGGCGCCTCAACGCCCCGCACTTAGGGGATCTTCCCAAATGGCTAATTACAACACACACACACTACACACTTGGCTAAATATTGTTTTGGGTTCGATCCAGATTGTTTGAACACTTTTGTTGGTACACTGATTCGTTTTAAGAGTTTAATTGCTCGCCCCTCTTATATATTTGTGTGGGGAGCGACCAAAATGTTTCAAATTAGTGAAGTAGCTTTTAATTTTTTTTTCCCAACCGCGTCTTTTTAATGTGCCTGACAACCACTAATTAAAGATGAATCAAAATTCATTGTAGGCTTTAAATTACACAATTCACAGTCTATTCAAAAACACATACATACAAACAAGCATATGCATACGAGTGCCAGCTCAATACAAATGTGTTGTCATTGTTATTAAATTTAAGCAAATAAATTTAAGTTATTTCATGTTATTCGATAGATACAAACGCATTCCACAGACCCATTTTGATACTGAAAGTTATGCGGAAACTGGGCGAATTCAAAGTCGCTGACATATGGCTATACTTGTACTATGTCTTAGGGCTCTAGTCTTTAATGGAATGCACAGTGGTTGCGTCCATAGGCCAACAATCAAAATAAATTCCAAAACAAATTGTCTCTAAAATGTCCAATCTTCCAAAATTAATAATTTAGAATGAATTTTGAAGTTGAACGTATTTATTTAATTTAATACATTCTTATTATGAAATTAATTTGATCAATTAAATCTTTCTACATTTGTCATACAGACTGGATCTGAAAAATTGGCGAATCTTTACTCCAGAGGGGAAAAATGTCCGTCTGCTGAGGAAAGCTCTAATGCAAGCAGACTTTCCTGCAAAAATGGATTTATCGTTGGCAAGCCGAGAAGTAGAGGAAGTGGATCTTCATATTTCTATTGGAAGTATTTTTGACTGCCGATTCCACACAAGACTGATCACTGGGGTTCGTTCATAGTCGGTCGGTTATATGGGAGATATATGATATATGGGGGCGTGAAATTGAAATCTGCATGAAATTTGGTCAGGTGATGGTAAACTTTCATTAATGGACACAAACAAAATGTTTAATTCGGGAAAAAACAAAAAATGTTGTGTGCTAAGAGTTTATTTTGAATCGGTCAGTTATATGGGAGCTATGTATGTGATATACAGTGAAAACTCTCTTGGCCGGACACTCGCGGCCGTCCAATTTTTGTCCGCCCAAGGGGAGTGTCCGCTTAAGGGGATACTTAAATACTTTACACACCGATCGCATGTTTTTAGAAAAAGTGTCCGCCGAAGAGAGTGTCCGGATAAAAGAGGGAGTTTAACTGTAGTCCTCTGATCTGAATGATTTGAAACATTGTCATCTTACTACATAAAGCACCCTGTGGCAAAAATTTCAGTAATAAGCTCCACTATAAGTACTTTTGGCCGCTGATCCGATCCCATACAAGACGGACCATTGTGGAATTAAAAAAGTAACGGGCCTAATGCCTCCTCCCCCCTAATATATGTAAATGTTGGTTGTTTTTAATGTAAAACTTTGCAGGTCTAACAATGAAATCGGATTATAAAGCATACGATTATATAAGGTTCTATAAAAGGCGAAATTTGTACATCAAGGTAAGCTAATTAGGAAGCCTTTCTCTTATGTGAAAAGCTATTGTAAAGGAGTGGGGCGTCAGTTTTTGGGGCAAATCGTTCCAAAATGGCGGTTTAAGAATAAACCGACAGTTTATACTATATTACAAATTCCCAGTAAACCGCTTACATACTAGTTGGAATAGTAGGGAGAGAGGCTGTGGCGCGGGCAGCGCTCTGTTAACTAACAGACCGCTTACAGCTGTTAGCAGTGGCTGCTGCAGTCTCGGCTGTAGTTAACAGCGCGCTGCCGCGTAAGCAGCTATGCACAGGAAATACAAACTTATAATTTATATCTCTAATACAGCATCGCAGGCTAAACTGGCCTTCTGCGTTGTGTGGATCAATGGGCGCTGTCTCTTTAAATATTTAGCAGGATACCCGAGATTTGACGGCTTCTCCAATGTCCACAACGAGGTCGTGCCTGTCGCCATCCTTCAGTGGATGTTCCCAGACCCGGGTTTGTTCGGCTTAGTTGAAATGCGAACGATGCTGCAGCGCCGCGTGTGGTATGAGGGTATTATCGAAAAAACCCCTCGTGAGTACAGCTGCGAAGCTTTTCAGTCATAACAATGCCGACCATGGGCTTGAAAATTTCATGGAGTGTTTGAGAAGAGCTGATTTCCTTTAGTGCTATGCACAGATCCATATTCAGTCACCTGGACCAGCCTTGAGGTCCTTGGTTGGTTAGCGGTGAGGTTGACTGCTCTGCCCTCTTAGGTCGCCTTAATTTTTCAGTTCCTTGTAGACCAACAAGGAATTATTTGCCGTTCATATTGGCTAGATGCACAACCGATTACGTTTTGCACAATCGTTTTCGGGTCATGTGCAGTAATTATATTGATCTTTAACATTTACTTTCGACAGGACTCTCTCTCTCTGTTCTATAAAAATTATTCTTTATAATTATCTGCGGGGAAATCTCTGATCAGCGAGTCGGGGCATAGCTTTCTCTTTCTCTTTTCTTCTTTCTCTTTCTACTCCTTACTTTTTCTAATTAGTTCTTAAGTAGAATTAATTTTCCTCTACTATATAATGTCTCTGACCACATATTTCCCCAAAGGTGTCGTAAAATGTAAAAATATATTTTAATAATTATAATGGAAGAGCTATTGTTGATTTACTAAATAAATAAATTCGGCAGGCACGGACATTCTTTTCCTATAAGAACTTGTTGTCTTTTCTTCTTCTTCCTTCTTGGGCGCACACTTCAAATCATGATCGTGACGGAAAATAATGAGCAGACAATATATGTAGAATTGAGTACGATTGATCCCTAGTACTGTGGAATTTTTGAAATAAATTGTCGAATGTGGTAATGAAGACGATTTTACGATGCTCGGTGTATTTGCAAGTGTGGGATAAGGATCATAGTGTTTTCTTGTGCTGAGCTCTTGTTGAAACTGTGTCTTGTACTCACACATTGTCACACGCTGACATAATGACACAGTTGACTCATTCATGAGCATTGTTGTCGCAAAGTGTCAGAGCAGACTGCAGACTGGGGGCAGGACAGGAGGCTAGCCAGTCAGCCGGAACAGAACAAGCGTACGTTTTATTTAGCCTTAGTTTGACTTTGTTTTACTCTCTCGTTTTTTCTCTTCTTTTTCTTTTTATTTTTCTCCTTCTGTTGCTGTTACATTGCTGTTCTTTGCTTTGCCTAGTCTTTTGACCAAAATGTCAGCAGAGATTAAGCGACGGAAATCTGGCAGGCCCAGCAGACACATGTACAAGATTTTACGATGGTAACTACACACGCACACACACGTACACACACACACGTACACACACACACACACACGTACACACACACACGCACACACACATATAGATGCATATAGAGCGAAACTGGCAGATGCACGTAATGAAAATATCAAAAATCTGCAACGAAATGTGCCAACGGCTGCTCGACGCGTGAGCTTGGGGCAAGGACATGTGCGAGGGTGGTAAGAGTCGTGCGGCAAGCGGCAAGCGGCGTGCGGCGTGAGGCGGAAGGTGAGAGACGGGAGTCTGGGGAACAATTCAGTTTTGCTTCATTTGAATGCGACACATTTTGTGGGCAAATTTTTGTAGTGGCTGTTGCTGTTGTTGTTGTTGTTGCTGTTTCTACTGCCGTTGGTCAGGTTCATTTAGGCCAGAGAAATCAAAAGTCAAAAGTTAGCAGCCCGCAGAGACTTGTGGAGTGTCTCTGTGTGTGTCTCTGCGTGTGTCTCTCGGTGTGTCTCTGTGTGTGTTAGTGTAAAATAAACGCTGCAAAACGACTAGTTATTACATGTACGAGAACGCTTGTGGGTGTGTGTGTGTGTGTGCTTCGTACACACGCTTACAAACATAAATACATGCACTCTCGTATGTGTGGGTGTAAATACACATGCACACATGCATTAATATACTGCTGCACACACGAGTCCTGCTGCTCAGATGACATTGCAGTCTGCAGGCCAAAAAGGCGTATCGTCTTAATAACCAAAAAGTACAATCAGCACTGCGTGGCCATGCACACACGCACACACACACGCACACTCCTCCATATGTGTGTGTGTGTGTGTGTGTGTAAATATGTTTTTGTATGTCGCTTCTACTATGTTGCTGCCACTGCCGCCCTAAAATGCAATTAGACTAACGATGCAACACAATTTTGTCTTTAACTATACACATGGACGATAGAATGCATGCCGGAAAGATGTTCGCAGAGCAAATGTCATAAAGGATATGCAGCTTAGGCGGTAGAAGGTGGAATCATCCACAACTAATACAATGAGAATTTAACTTGACACTGCATTTATTATTATCGTTTTACCCCAACAAATTGTTATTCAAAATTGTAAATTGCAAAGGTAATGGACTTCTTTGAATGCATTTTTCATGTTAGGTTTTTTGCTTTTTTACAGCAAATGTTTTTACAACGACTGAACGAATTGAAAATCGAATGGCGTTGCAAAGTTTTGATTTTTTAAATAATCGGCCTCTGAGTAAAAATAAAGAAAAACAAAAAAGACCTGCATTCAATTCTTTGAAACAACATCATCAAATGCTGCCGTCATAATCTTTCAAGCCATGTAACCATTAACTCTTTCTTTTTAAAAAAAATGCTATAACTTAAACATAGTGAAGCGAAACATTGAAGTACATTTCAAACATTACAATTTTGTATTGTGTCTTTTAAGAATAATTGTAATTCTGAATAGAATAAAATATAATACAAGTAATAAATGGTATGGCATTGGTTTCGCCAAGAGCCAATAAGATTATAATAATGATCAACAAACAAGAGACCAAACCATAATTTAGACTAGAAAAAAAACATAAATTTGTTGAAGAGGTTATAATATTTGACAATGGTAGCAGAAAAATTCTCGCAGTGCAATCGAAATGGAATCATATCCGAAAGAAATGGAAGCATTTCATTGTTTTTGTTGGAACTCGAGCATAGATTCTAAAAAATGTTGTGGCAAAAAATCTTTATAGGTATCAATTGCACTTTTTATGGCTTCCGCCATCGGCTGTACCAAGAAAAAAAAAAAAAACCGCAAGACAGGGACAGGTCATTTTTTGAAAATAGCAGCTAGCTGTGAGCTAAAACTTGTTAAAAAATAAGCGTATAGGAAAAGTGCAATATACATTTTTAATTAAAACCATTCTTCTCTATAAAGTGAACTTCGAATTTAGACGCGAATAACAAGGCAAGTTAAATTCTGATTAAAGTGTATTATTTGCCGTTTCTATCGTTTTTTTTCAGATTTTATTTAATAAATACCAGTAATTACTTGTGTTCAGCTACTTTAAAATGTTGAATTAATTAGACTTCTGAGATCCGCCTTAGTT